GCTGCGTACTCCCCTGTGCAACACATGCCTCAGACAAAGCTGCAGTCCCACTCTGGACCGGCTACTCCGCGTACGGCGGTCTGAGATATAAAATGGGCTGCCTGGGCTCCATGCCTTCTAGAAGGAAACACTTTCAAAGCCAGAATGAAAATTTGGTGCAGGTTGTTTCACTCTTATTTATATCATTATCTAATGAGTCGTAAGTGCATCCATCCCTACATCTTGAGAACGTTTTGTTTTTTATTATGGGTTTTTTTTTTTTCTTCTCTAAACCCCCATCATTAAAAATCAATTAGCTTATGAGTAACGTTATACAGATGCTTCTGCAGCAAGGGGCTGACATCTGCAGTGGCAGCAGCCCAGATACTACAGCAATAGATGTCCAAAAATACCCCATAGAGGAAAATAAACCTCCACCCCTAAAGCTGTATTCTTTCTGATCAACAAAACAGCTGAACGTCCAGCCTGGGCCTACTTCCCTGTCTCCTGCATAATTAGCACACTTCTCAGAGCAAGCAGAAAAGTTTAATTGTCTTTAATTATCCAGTTCAAGGAGGACTGTGTTTCTTGCCTGATGTCCATATAATTTCTCTGCCAACGACTTCATCATTCCTTTACTGGAAGTGGAGTGTAGCTTCTCCTCCATAAAAGACACAAAAGTTTCAGTGAAGGCTGTGCTGCTGGCACAAGCAGAGACAAAGGTTCTTGTGTCTACCAGGCTGTTGCTTAGGCTGCTGCATGTGTTTTCTGTGGAGTGGGAGGGAATGAGTTGCAACTAATGTGCAATCAAGAACCATCACAATTACGAATGTAAATGAACAGGCAATTGGCACTGACCTTTGTAGATTGTTAGAGGACTAATTAAGGTATGATCAGACACTCTCTTCCAACAGATTGAGATGCATCTGTACAAGCAAATATCTACGCACCGCCCCAAAGACAGCCATGCTTTTTCCTACATGCTTGCACACACCGGCAAGTACGTACACACAGACAGACACGGCATTTAACCCCAGCACCTGCTCTCTGCCACAGAGCACACAGGACGGAGTGGGAAGGGGAACAGGGCAACTCCACTCACTCGGTCTGCGCAGTCCCACTGAACACAAGGCTGAGCTACCTCTCCTTACTGCAACCAGCAACTTTACGTAAAGCTGGGGATGAGGAGATTGGCACAAACTGGATGAAGTTAAGGAAAGAAAAAAGCAGTGAAGAATCTTTCAGCGTTTCTAGCAAAGCCACAAAGGTCTCCAGCAGCAGGATCGTCGCCTTGGATCACGGTTGGCCCAGGGGTCTGCCCTGGAAGCAGCAGCAGCAGGCTGGACCCCACCGTCCCCTTACACCGTGATCCCTCGTGCCTGCTTGCTGTTGGTCACAGCACACCAGACCGAAGAGCAAGGAGAGGGATGATGTTTCCTACTACTGCTGAGGCAAACCAGCAGCTGGCCAGCCAGCCCAGCAAGAAAACAGACCAGCACAAGAAGGGAACGGTTTTCTGCCAGCTCAGCCCTGCCCTGAGCACTTGCAGTTCTACAAGGAGAGAAGACGGGCGCTCGTCAAGGTCCGGCTCAGGGCCTCAGCCTTGCCTGTCGTGTTTCAAGCACCTCCCGGGACGGGGACTCCACAACCTCCCCGGCAGCCGGTCCAGGGCTGGGCCACCCTCCCAGCGAGGAGTTTTGCAGAAGGTAGAAAAGCGGCGAGGACTGACGTGTTTTAAGAGTCCTCAGAAAGAGCAGTGATAACAAAAGGGGACTCACTTTGGAAAAAAAACACAAGCTGGTATTGTATTTGTAGGTAAACTGAATTCAAAACAAATATAATTAACTAGAAGGGGAGAGAGAATCACAGTGATGATTACCAGGGAGTTAACAGCAGCATCAAAACAAACCACTGCACTTGTAATGCAGCAAACCAGCAAAAAAGTCACTATCCCTTTGGGCCCCCTGACAGAGACATGTCACAGATCAGAAAAGCACTTTCTGCTCAAGGTGTCCAAAACACAGGGAAGACTTTCTTGTGTTATCTGTTACGACCAGAGACTCCTCGTCACAAGGCAGTGAGGAAAGTCCACCTAGCCCTCAGAAAAAAACAATAAAAAACATAATGGGGATACAGTAGAGACACCACCGTATTATACAGGAGGAAGAAATGTGGAGAGCCAGCTGCAAACCCCAAGTGCAGCCCTGCCACAAAGGAAGAGCGTTCCCCACGCTGGCAGCGTTGTGCTGGGAAGACCCGTCAGTGAAGCCTCACTGAGTAGCATGTGCTGCTCTCCTGAACAGGTCTAACAGCCAAACACACTGGCAAAGTTCAAAACCAAGAAAAAACAAACACATCAGAAGTGTGAATTTAAGCCTAGGTATGTGCGTATTCCTGCTGCACATTGCTGACACCCAGAACTACAGAAAAGCAACAGCCAGCTGAATAATAAGTAACAGCAGCATTTTATAACACTGGAAGTTTAAATGTCACAGAAAACAGGGAAGAATCAGCCTGTTTGAGGCAGATCTTTTTATGCGTGAAGAAACTACACTGAATAAATCGAAGCTGAGACACAAATTATTGTTGTGCCCTGCAAGAGCCTGACCTTGCCTGCCACGAGGACCACCCCTGGGTGCCGGGCAGTGCCCCCGCCTGTCCTGATGCTCGGGAGTGGAGGCACCAGCCCGGGCACCCACCAGCACCCACCAGGGCTGCTGGGTTCCAGATTGCGGCATGCACCTTCCCCGGTGTATGTCCTCAGCCCAGCCTCTGGCCTGGGGCGACAGGGCCACCCCGCTTTATATTCGAGTTGATGTTCTGATACTGTAATGGGATCAGAATAAACGGGAGACGAAAGCATCCGTTCTCCCCCACAGGGGTACTGCAGCCTCTCACCCAAATCCTACTCCTGTCACCGCAGGGATAACCGGAGCAGTGCCTCGTGCCTGCAGCCACCAGCGCGCCGGCGAGGAGTGCCTGCTTAGTCTTGCTCAACAATGGGTTGGAAGAGTGTTTGAAATTAAATATCTCAGGTCAGAGAGACCTGCAAAACAGCTCAGAGGTTCCCCCACTTTGCATTCTACAGTTTTATTCTTACTTGTATTTTTAACCTTTGAAATAAAATATGATAAAGTCTTAGTGTCTTGTTTGCTGTCAGTTTTTGCTGAAGAGCCAATGAGCTTGAAGGAAATTACCTTAAGCCATTTGAAAAAGTAAAGTAATTTTAAACCAATATTTCCTTTCAGTGACTTGTCAAGACTTTTAGTTAAAAAAAAAAATAATGTTTTTTTTTAAATGGTCAACAAACCATTTTCCCTCTCAGCTAGTCAGCTTCTGCACTCTCAGTACCTGCAATGTCATAATCCTGGCGGACGTATAGGGAAAGATAAGGTTTCTAAAGTAAAAGACAAGGTAAACAAAAATTTCTAAAGTAAACAAAGATTTTCAAGATTGTTCTGTATATCACAAAAGGGCACAGATGGTTTCTCCTCTCTGTTCATTCTGCTTTTAAGAAAACTCACAAACCATACAACACTGGTCAACATATCCTTTCGAAATCTGACTGTTTTTCTACAACGGAGCATTGTAGAGAAGCGGAACGGCTGCAAGAGCTGCTGTCCCCTCCGGGATGGTGTGGCAACCACAGCACGCTTTCACTGTCACCGTGACCTTTGGGAAAGCATATTCCATGCCCTCGACTCCACTGGGCTGCTGAGTTCACAGATCGGTCACTTTTTTCCATGAGACTGAATTTAACTCTTAATGAAAAGTCTCCTGTTTTACTTTTCGGGTGTTTTGCAAGTACTTCAGATCCTTGTTACTAACACGTGTAACAGCAACGCAACCCAGGTCTTAATTCAAGAGACGGTTCTAAGACCCACAGGTATTCTCCTCCAGCTGGTGCTGCTTTCCTTTCTCAACGCCTTTAAGCTAAGATCACCTTCCTTGTCTCTATATGCATTAATTGCAGAATGCCAGTTCCTCAGAGCACCTTTCTGTAAGACTTAGCCATTTCAACAGCAGTTGTGGAGGAAAGTCCTGGCTGAAGCTGAGAGGAGGGTTGTGAAGGCTTTCACTGACATCCCTCCAGCTCCAGCATCTTCACCTCCCTGACAGAACATGTACCAGCCAACTGGGGCAGGCTCTCCTCCTCCTCCCTCCAAAGAGGACTTCACGAGATCTTACTTTTTCCTAATGTAAAAAACTTCTTAACTCTTTAAATGATTAAACAAGGTACAATTTCTGTTTTGCCCAGCCTAACTGTCCCCTTTAAGGCACATTTTCTCTTCCTAAATTCACAGCTTCAATCCCTTTCCTATTATCTGTCCTTTCTGTATGAGCAAATGCTTCATCCGAGCCCTTCATGTTATCCACCCTGTCAAGAGGAGACATGGAAAACAGACGAACACTCGCCCCTTCTCCTGCCCACCCCTTCCAACCAGCACCTCCTCCCAATCCAATATGGCTGAAATACTAGAAATCAATGAACAAGCTGGGACAGGTTCATTCTGGCGCTCAAGACATCACGTGACACACTGCAAAATATCTACAAAAAGTACAGTACGCTAGCTTGTTAGAGTTGTCCAAATGTGACCGTATCTTTAGATGCTCATACAATATTCCACTGTTGAAGACACTAACGTGAACAAACATACACACCCTACACGTCAAAATTGCGTTTAGCTCCACTGGAACAGAGGGGACCACTTACAAGTACAAAATGAAGTACGTGTGTAAGTATTTGGTGCTTCAGAGCCACCAGTCACAAGTCCCGTGAGGCAGAGCTATGCTGGACACTGCAGGTACAACAGGGGTCCTGTCCTACCTCAGGGCAGCCGGGACTTCCATAACATGTTATTGATAAGCAATAAGCATCATCCCCACAGCAGGGAAGAGAAACAAGGAAGTCACTCAGCTTGCCATGAAACTGCACAGAGGGTCAGATGCTGCTGTTGAAATCCTGTGACGCAGAGGAGCCAAGAGCCCGACCCTGTTCATGCAAGGGAGGCAGCACTCACCAGCCTCAGCAGCTGGACACTTGCGGATGGTGAAGATCTGTCCCAGGTCTTCCTCTTCTTCAGGCAGACCTTTCTGGAGGCGCTGCAGCTTACGCAGGCTTTCACTCCGCTGGTGTTTCATGGAGCGCACGTGCTGGATAAGGTTCAGCTTGGCCTTGGTGGAGTAGTTACAGAGGACACAGTGATAATAGCAGCTTTCACCCTCAACCCCGCTCTCGTGATGCTGAAGGTGCTGTGAAGAATAAAGTAGAAAGATGTGAATTTCCTTTATCATCTCCAGTCTCCCTGGGTTAGTCCACCGTAAATTGCTAAAAGCCACCTGGGAATTAAGTAAGAAGCCACATTTTGACAAAGACACAGCAAGATCAAGCCTGTTTATTCTCAAGGTACCATGCGCTCTCCTGCTTAGAAGCAGGAAAAACATAACATACTGAAATGAGCACAGAAGCAAAAATCGAGATAGGCAAGACCATCTCCTTCAGTGAAAGAAAATACCAGATCCAACATTAACAACTACTCACAACCTACGCATGGCTAATTCTTTCGTATTTAAAGCTTATCCTGGGAGGGGATCCAACTTCATGTCAAACATATAAAATTAAACTTGATAAATTCTCATTGAAAACTAAGAAGAATAAAACCAAAGCAATCCTAGAACACAATGAACCCATTAGATCGAGAGGTCCCGGATACAGCATATGGAAGCAGAGCGCAGAGCATGTGCCATCCTATCCATCACCCAGCATGCTGTTCCCTGGCATCTAGGCAAGAGGTTAGCACTTGGAAAAAAAAATCTTGTCACCCTCTGAAGCTGTGCTATAGCAGCCAATATAGCTAATTTGAGAGTAGCATACCCTGATTATTTGACAAAATCTATCAATCATCTGGCACAGAGATCCATGCCACCAGGGAAACAAATAGCTTCTTTATGTCATGGATCCCAAGGATGCAGCAATTGTTTCTTAAAACCAGAGGGAAGAATTCACTGCTTATAGCTACTTTGGCTGCCACGGCACAGCCGCCCTCCATTCAGTTTAGGCAGCATCAGGGCTGAGAGTTCACAGTAACTTTCCTAATTCCCACAGTAAGGGCTTATCACAAGTAGAGGAAAAATGGACACCCAAGTCAAATGACATGAAAGATTCCTCAGTGAAGGCCGTTTGGGGTTTCCTCCACACACCTACATTTCAGCTAAGCAATAATCCCTGCCAGCTCCCACTGTCCAACCTCAAGACCTCTTCTTGTCTTCTGGGTCATCTCATGAAACTCTTGCCTCGCCAAGCACTTCGCCCAAGGTGCGTAAGTAAGGTGATTTGGACATGATCTCAAGGTTTGTCAATCAAAAATATTGCCTACGTGCAGCCAGGACTTTGTGGTGAAAATTCTGACGTGTATTATCTCAGTTACAGCTAAGATAAGATTAAAGACACATATTACCCAGCGCTGTGTGCTTAGCTAACACAGAGGAAGGAGAGCCCTCTGAGTCTAGGAATGATTAAAAATAGGATAGGAGCTGATGCTGAGGCTTCTGATTGGAAGGGTGAGGGAAGAGAATAAATGTATTCCAGATCTGGCTAATTAGACTAGCCTCTTTTGGGATCGCAATGTATTTAATTAAATTCACTGTAATATTTGAAGAATCCACTAGGGCACTAATCCCACTGGTGCCCTCAAAAGATTTTTTTGCTGTTTTCCCTCATAAGAACTTCTTCTTCTTCTCATTTCTATTGTTTGCATGCATTACCCTCTTCCTGAGCCAGAAAAAGAGAAATGGCCTAAGACATGAAAAGCTAAGGCTAGCGAGCCAGTCACAAGAGCCACGCGACCGGCTCACGTGGCCCGGCTTAACCAGCCTTGCTCTGCCCTGCTTAGATCCAGTCTCAGCAGTAAAACCTCCCCACTGCCCCATCTCGCTGCAGGCTGGGGGTCTTGCTCCAGGAGACGCACAGCAAGCTCCATCTTCGGTCAGTCGAAAGGCGTGTGGGGGAAGACCCCAACCCTACAAACACCGCGTTCAAGCTCAGAAAGTGCCAACGGGCTCAGTGGCAGCTTCTGTGAGAAGGCAGAGGAAACCCCCAGTAAGAAAAATCTGGTCACAAGTTCAAGAAAATATTAAGGACATGGTCTTTGTGGGAACCAGAGGCGCAGTCTGTACTGCTCTCATTTAAAAGAGAATTTTAGGAAAACATTTGTTTTAAACAGTTTAATAAGCATGTCTTATTTTCTGCTGTTCTTTTGCTCCTGCTTCACGCATGTTCAAATATCCCTTGTGCTTGGGTCAGCTTCACCCGCCTGTTGTGCTGAAGGAGTCAAGACCTGAGGGTGCCAACACCACCAAGTCCACCCCGGACACGGCGCGACATCGCACGCCTACCTCTGATTCACGTCAGTCTTCCAATGGAGGAAAGGAGCAGGCCAGAATAAGACAGTGTGACGGACGAGCAAATACTAGCTGTGAGTCGCTTGAAGTGACAAAACGCTGGACAACTATATGTAGTTATTGTCCATCACACTGTTAAGCTTTCCCCTTGTGAGAATTTATCCGAATCACAGAAAACAAATTCAAAATATTAAACCAGAACCTTGTTAGAAGACAAATCAACTTGAAAATCAAAGGAATATATTGTTCCTAGGAAAACCAACCAACTTCTGTCAGAGAACATTGATTTCTGCAAGTCTGGGGGGGTGTTTGCCCCCTCCCTCTCAACGATAGGAAACTTCCAACATCTGGTTCTTCACGCATGGCATGCAAAATATTGATCAGGTTTAGTCAAAGCTCCACTTTAAATCAGAAACAGACAGAGCAACGCTCTGATGGAAACCATACGGCTCACAAGTACGGCTTCCCAGGGGGACGCGGGCTGTTCCTGTACGTACCCTAACCGCAGCACAACACTGTGCCGCTCACAACACCTATCCCTGCACACAAATCAAGCCAAATCCAGCCCATCTTCCACTCCGGAAGCGCTCGGTCTCCGGGCAAAGCTGTGCTCCTGCTCCGTGGCGCACTGATTAGCGCAGGAGGATCCCGCTCAGAGACCTCGTCTCCTCCGTTTGCCGTAACCCCTGCACTGCCTGCCCCCGACCTTCACCACAGACCTCTTCCCTGCGGAACGCCAGTCCCGCACCAGTTACAAACGCCCCACGTTTGGCAATTCCGTCTCAACGCCAAGAGCTATCCACTGCGGCTCTGCCCCGCGTGCCCCAGGGCAGTCTCCCCCGGGCACGGCCGCTCCAGAGCGCGACGGCAAACAAAACTCCTGAGCCAGGGAACAACCGCTGAAGAGCCGCTGCCACACAGCTGGCCTGGCCCGGCCCCACCAACCACTGCCCCGCCAGCTGCCGGCGGCAGTCGGAGCCTCTCCTTCAGCTTCTCACGAGGAAAACCCTATTTCGGGGTGACTCCACGCCACACTGCGCTCGCCGGGCGGCCGCACTCATGCCAGCAGCCAGGATGGCTTCAGCCCTGCTCCACGTGATCCACCCGACGAGCATTTTGGGCTGGTTTAGGGAGAATTGCATATTGACCTCCTCCTTCCCCTGGGTTTGGCTCAAAGAAGTCAGCGCGTTCGGAGGGCCTGAACGCAAGACGGTTTAAATAAGCAAGAGAAAAATTCTAACTTGTGCTTATATGTGCTGCAGAGGGCTGGGGGCCAGCAAACAGCAATCAGTCCCTTTGGGGATCGCACTGTGCACAGCCCTCAGCCCCCCAGACGCGAGAGGAGGGAGAAAGAGGCGACTGCACGCCGGCAGCGTTCACGCCAGTGCTGCCATCGGCAAGGGCAGGAGAAGGGGGTGCGGAGGGCGCGGGCGTGGAGCGGTGCCTGCGCGAGCCCAAACGAGGACGCGTGCGCTGGGACGAGCTGACTCACGCCGGACCGATGGGCTGACTTTCCAGCCCTCGCTCCCTAACATCTGGCTCGGAATTGTTTTCTTCTGATAAATAATAGCATAATAAATGTTCACGGTGTATGACTATGGAAATCTTAATTTTTAAACAAAGTAAGGAATGACGCCATATTCAGTTTTTCTTTCTCTGCACCTCCATCCTTCATGTACCCCAAACTTTGTTTATTTTACCATCTCTCTTTTCCTCGTCTAACGCTGCCTCACCCACAGTATTTTTCAATAATCGCGGAATTTAATGCGACAGCTGTATTAATCTGTCTGACTGCAAGCAGTCCTCCTCATCCCCATGCCATGTACTCAGACTACGTTCTTCGGAGATGAGACTGTTGTAACCAGGACTGAGGATCCATGTTGCTATTACACAAATAATGAATTCTCCTGCTGAATACCTTTGTGGGTGTTACTGTAGTTAAGGTTCACCATTTAATCTGATTACTAAAAACTTTTGTATGTCTTTTAGATTTTAAAAGATGTTAAAGCTCTATCTGCTCAAAACCTCTTCTGTATTAAGTTTATTATAGCCGCCGTGTAAAGAGCCCGATTCCTACAGTAACATGAACAGTTAATCCTCCCTATAGCGCTCTGTTGCCAGAAAGCCCAATGTTATTTTCCAAATCTTATTTGCTATGTTTAGTGGGTCAGATACTGTTCTGGGGGATATCTGAACTGTAACCCTAGCTCACTAGGGAGACACAATAACCACTTTGAACTATCTTGTGCTTTTGATGTTTATTATTCATTAGAAAATAGGCCCAATTTCTATGCAATCTTAACTTCACCTTGTATAAAGCTTCCCCTTTGGAGGGCCCTCAAAGCTCTCAGGATGAACCCACACTGACAACAGTGGGAATCTCACAAGCCCTTGGTCAACGAGCTGTAAGACCAACCATCTCTGCAAGTGGTGAGATTCCATCTCCACCCTCAGGAAGTCTCGATGGTACAAAAAGGAGTAGAACATGTGAGAAAACGCTCTGCAGGCTCGAGGACGGCCCCCTTCTTCTGCAGACCTCAAAATGACAACAAGCAGTAGAAAGAAACTCCATAACTGACCCCAACAACAAGCAGCCTGTGGTCTCCTGCTCCCCTCTCTGGTGCACAAGGATTTCCTGCACATATCAAGGTGTCTGCAGGTAGGAAAAGCAGGTGAAGTTAACAGGCCTGGGAGCCAAAACCCAAAGTGTGAAAATAATCTTATTGAATTCTATGCGGCAAACAGAGAACCAACACTAACAAACAGAAAACCCTTCCTCACCACCAGCTGGCTAACAGGATCACCAGCCATAGCAGTGACCCAGATCCTAAAACAACTGATCTGAGATCTGT